ATAGTATGAGCCAGATGTTTTCCTACTGGTAGTAAATGAATATAAACCATTAAAGGAAATCACTCCATTTTCCAAATCATCAGCATGTACCCCAAAACAGTGTTCCCTCAATCTCTAATTAGTAGGAAACTGGAGCACATGAACATGCCCTGCAATGTTGATTACTTCACCACCTTAAAATATTTGAGCTGTAACACGTAGAGAAACCATATGATGCAAAGTATTTTAACACAGACTGATTCCTGGTATTTCTTGATTTAGCTCCTTGGAAACCAACTGATAAACAAGACTTAGGCACCTTCTGGCACTAGTTCTGTAATTTTACCATGGTCAGAAACTATAGGCACCGAATTAACAAAACTGAAGTTACAAATGCATTGGTTTCAGTAAACAGTCACCACCAGCATGGGCTGAACATCGCCCTAAAAAGCAGAGCAGAAATTGAAGCTGCATTCAGTTACTACACAAGAAGAGTTAAGCAAGACTGAAAGAATAGAAGCCACTTTCAGCAAGGGAGTTTTAAAAACAGCTCCTCTCTTTCACTTAGCAACTAACTGACTAACTAGGTCTAAATAACAGTACACTTTGCATCCTCAAAAGTTAATGGCACATCTTTTCTAAAAAAGAAAGAGATTTAGAAAGCTGTACTATTCCCATGAAGTTTTGCCAATTCTGAAGTACGTGGTTTATTGTTGATGTCTACTTAAAATAAGCCAGAGCTCTATTATCTCAACAGAACAGAGCTACAATGATAATTTTTTTTCCTTTAAAAAACAACCTACTGAAAAGCCAACAGCTCCGAATTCCTCAAGAAAGATAACACAGTCAGCAACAGTAAACTGTCTCACCCTGTTCCACACTTCAGGCCATTTGCTGCAAAGTATCTTAACAGCTTTTCACAAAGCAATGACCACCTGTTCCCACAGCCTGCAGCCATGGGAAAAAAATCAACCACCATTACAAACTCTTTCCAAAGCCATTTTTCAGCAGTGGTACCAAAACTCCAAACAAAATTTGAATCCTAAACCCCACAGCACATCAAACTCACTCAATACTGGAATAATATTTCGTTTTCATTTGCGGGTTATTTAGCTCTTCCACTCATACGTATATTTAGGCAGCACAGTTAAACAAAAGCACCTGTGCTAAGGTTTAAACACTAAGCACTGATTGGAGTCACAACTGTTTAAGCTTCCAGCAATCAAATATGAACAATTCTAAAGTTATAAAAGGCATCCAGTAAACACATGAGAGGTCCTAATAAGATCCAGTGTGCTACAGCTTCCTAGGAAATGGCATCCACTGCAAGGAAACGGTTTTGGTCAAGTTCTTAAAAGAACACCACTGAAAGCAGAACTACAAAGTGCTTGAGGATAGCTGGTAGAACAACATATTTCAGTCTCTACAATAATCTCTCAGCACATACTGTGGGATGCTCAGATATTAAAATAAGTTGGTGGTAATCAAAAGCATATCGAGGACAAGATTGCACAACTGCATCGCATTTAACAAGCTGCTCATTTGATATCACCTTGCAAATCCTAATCCAGGCAAAGGCTTTTCAGTTTTCAACTCACTGCTTCCCTCTCACAGGAGCCTCCCCCTCCCACTCTACTCCTGTGACCGAGAGTTCCACGCACAACTCCGGGAGGGAAGGAGAGTGAGCTAACCTTTGTGTAACGATGTGGGTATTTAGTTGTAGTTCTGTTCAGCTCCAGGAAAGCATCGCCATTTTCAGTTTCTGTTGCACCTCCTCTTTTATCCATGGTTACTTCAAAGCCTTTGACCGCGGAGCTAATTAAAACAAAACCAACCCGTCAGATTTTAAGACGTACCTTTCTAGAGGGTGCATTTTCTTTCCAGCCTGAGTCAGTTTAGCACTTGGGCACAGCAAAGTAGACGCACGTTCCCCAACAGCGCCTGTCCCCTCCCAACCCTGCCCCTTCCCCCGGCCCAGCCAGGCGGCTCTCGCTGAAGGGTCCGAGCGGCTCCGGCAGCGCGGCCGGCCCTGTCCCGCGCTCCAGCACACGGAATATCGGTGTGAGGGCACGGCCGGGGCGCGCGGCCGCCGGGACCCGCACCCCCACACAGCCCGCGGGGCCCGCAGGGGTCGGGCGCCGCTCGCCCCGCGGCTCGGGGGCAGCGAGGCCCAGGCGCCGTCCCGAGGCGCCGGAGCCGCGGGGGGGAACGGCGGCAGCGGGGCAGGTGACTCAGCGGATCCCCGCCCGGCCGCACTCACCGGCGGGTGTCCCGCGCCGCTCCGCTCCGCTCAAGGCCTCACCGCCGCCCGCGGCGTTTCCTGCTCCGACCGCCGGCCCCACTTCTCCCCCGCCCGCCCTCACTGAGGGGCCGCACGCGCCCCGGGCCGGCGCTGCCGCCGCCGCCCCCCCAGCCCCGGCCGCCCCGCGCAGCCCCGCGCGCCACCGCCGCCGCTCCCGCTCCTGCTCCTGCTCCGCCCGGCGCCGCCTCCGCTCAGCCGCCGTAGCCGGGGCCTCGCGCCGCCCGCTCCGCACCCATTTAACGCCCCGCGCGCAGGCGCGTCGGGCGCGCGCGCCGGGGGCTCCCCCGCCTGCTGCCTGACCGCGAATCGGCGGCGGGAGGCGCTGACGGCGGCGGCTGCGCTCCCGCCGTGTGTCCCCGCCGCCCGCGGAACCGGCGTCTCACCCTGCGAGCGGCGCGGCGGGTGAGGAGAGGCGCGGGGCTCGATGAGGGCCTGCAGGCAGTCTGGGCGGGCAGCCCTGCGGGGGAGGCGGCCGCCGGTGGGATGCGGTGCGCGCCATGTGCGGGGCGGCGGCGGCGGCGGGATCGGCCCGTCCCTGTCCCGGCACTGTCCGCGTCCCCGTGTCGCCTCAGGGGGAGCGCGGGGTGAGAGAAGGGCGGGAAGCGGCAGGGCGATCGCGGCTGAGGGCGCGCTCGGCGGGCGCTCCCCCTCGCCCCCTCACGCGCGTTCGCCGTGGTCGCTGGCGGGCTCGGGGGGGCTGTCCCAGAGCGGCTCCGTGTCCCGCCGTGCGCGGCCCGGCTCCCGCGGCTGACAGGGGCGGTCCCGCCGGGCCTGCGCCGCTGCCCAGCCCGGCACTGCGAGCGCAGCGTCCCGGTGTTCGCAACCCGCTCCGGGCTCCTGTCATGTTGGAGTCCGGCATTCCCGTGGGACAGCAGGACTAGGTTGGTGCAGTGAGCGGAGCGGCTTATTCGGAGGAACCGGAAAAGTCTTTCAGTGTTTGCTAATGAGGAGAAGACATTGTTTGCAACATCAGTTTAAGGAATTTATTGAGCGAGATCGCCTGCTCCGTTTGTCCACAGCGCTGTCCCCACCACTTGCATCCATTCTGCCACAGCAACCCAGCAGGGCCGCAGGGTTTCCAAACTCCGTGGGCACAGAGGTCTGTGTAGGATCTGGTGAATAAAGCGTTCTCTTCCCTGATCTCTAATGAAGTTGAATGCCAGAATTAAAATCTGGTTACCTATGGAATGAGAGAAATATAGGAGAAATAAAATTTCTCACCATTTTTTGTGACAAAGTGCTGCGTTATTAATGAGACAGCACTCTATTGCCGAGTCTCTTGAAGCCAACAAGTACTTTCCAAACAAGTACACAAGGAGATGCCATAGCAACCAGTGGGTCACTAGCTTCCACCTGAGTGGTTATTATGAGATGCTGTAGGCTTTGAGAAGGCCTGAACTGTGCTGTGTTTCACTGTCACCTTTGTGCACATCGCTGTTGTGAGTTAAAACACGTTTTTTGGCTCCCAGAGGCACACCTGCCACAGGTGCCTCTTACTTGACGCTCGCAGCAGAAATGTCCAGAGGCACAGAAGTGGCAGAAAACAGTTTTTTCCCAAGTGCAGCAACAGCTCCTTGCCACGGGCATTCAGCCGCTTTCCCTGTGCGAGTCGGTCCGTGCCTGTGCCCGGTAAATCCCGGTCACACCGGGGCCGTTCCCGGGGGCGCTGTCCGCCCGCCCGCCCCGCCGCAAGGGGGCGCTGTGTCCGCCCGCCCGCCCCTCATGGCGGGGCCGCCTCAGGCGCCGCTGCTCCCTCCCTCCGCTGCTCTCCCCTTTGCGGTGGTTTCCCCGCTGCTCCCTCCCTCCGCTGCTC